ATGGCTAGTAGGTTGGAGGCCGTCGCTATTGGGTTGGAGGCCATTGCTTCTATAGTAGCTTGAAGGCCATTGCTTCTAGGTTGGAGGTCATCCCTAGTAGGTTGGAGGCCATCGCTATTGTTTGTTGTTTGTCACCATCACTTAGACGGCATACAGAATTCGTCGGAGGTCCCAACAAACTATTCGTCCTAGTGGAGCCATGTCTAGCAGCCTAGCCACATTCAAGTAAGTTTCTTCTCATGACAAGAAAAGACACTGATCCTTCTCGTGACAAGATGCGTCGGATGGTACTGGGCATGAACAGCATGGTACTCTTCAATTCCTTCTGCGCGGTCGAGCTTGTCCTTTTCGCCTGCAAAGACACACAAATATGATTATGCAAGAAATCTGGATCGAATCGACTGAAATGAAGGGGCATTGATATGAATGATATGACTTTCGTATGACCATTAACAAGCCAAATGTTGATGGCAGACTCTAATTAACGAATTTTACGTTTGTGACATCAGACTGGGCTAGGGCTCAGCGTGTTGTCCTCTCAATTTCTTGGGGTCGCAAGGAGTACCAGGAACAAAGTCTGCCTGGAAACCAAGTACAGTTCCAATATGTTCCAATCCACTTGCATAAATTCTGGAATTCTAAGGGGTGAGCATCTGGTGAACTGAAATGAAAAAACCCTCCTAGCTTCTCCGGACTCTTTTCGATCTCTGACCCTGGTGGCATCATGGTGTCCTTTCAATTAGCAACAAACAGTTGAAATGACCAGCATAAACAGCGCAACTGATTCATTCGCTGAATGTCCACCATTCCTGAGGAAGTCTGTGGGGATGTGCAATGCTCCTGACTAGGTTGGAGGCCATTCCTATTAGGTTGGAGGCCATCGCTATTGGGTTGGAGGTCATTGCTATTAGGTTGGAGGCCATCGCTTCTAGGTTGGAGGCCATCGGTATCAGGTTGGAGGCCAGGCAATTGGGTTGGAGGCCATTGCTATTAGGTTGGAGGCCATTGTTGGGTTGGGGGCCATTGCTAAAAGGTTGGATGAAGGTTGGATGCCATTGGTATTAGGTTGGAGGCCATGCAATTGGGTTGGAGGCCATTGCTATTGGGTTGGAGGCATTACTATTAGGTTGGAGACCAGCGCTATTAGGTTGGAGGTCATTGCTATTAGGTTGGAGGCCATCGCTATTGGGTTGAAGGCCATTGCTATTAGGTTGGAGGACATCGCTATTG